TGTTTCTGTATCTCTGTGTTGCAGCACAGTATCTTGCACGTAGTAACTGCCCCAAAATTTTTGCTGACTGCATAACCACACTTGGGCTTGGTGCTTTGTTTTACTTTATTTCTTCACATGTATTCAACATTAAAAATATATATTAAGTGCCTTTGAGTCCTCCCATCTTATGCCTTTAGAATCGATGGGGTTGGGGTATAGCTTCTTGTTCACTTTTGTGCACAAATAATGCTTTGTCTCTTCTTAATTGTCTGGACACGTAGTTTTTCAACAATTTTGTTGTAATCCATTTAGTCAGGGTATTTCACAAATATGTAGGAAGTGTCATTAGAGATGACTCAAGTGTCCACTGAGCAAAAAGATTTCAAAGAAGATGTTGAGGCTATGTAGGGGATTTTGCCAGGGCTGGGCTTTGAGTTCCAGAGGGCATAGTTAAAGAGTTACAGAGTGGGCTAGGACAGACGCGATGTGCAGAACTTTAGGCATGCTGGGGATAAAGAGTAACCCAGTGCACCAGAGCTTCCTGAGCCGACATAAATACAAGCAAAGGGCCTAATGAGATTAGTTCCAGTGAATTTAAAGTGGAAATTGGTGGAAAGATATAAAGAGGTCGAATGGAGCAGAGCAAAGATAAATATCAGGAGGTCCCTCTTAATCCTGCTCTTAGAGACAGGGTGATCTGGGGAAGGGTGGCCGTCATCCCACTTGGAGTGCTTGCTCAGAGTTTGTGGTCCTCCCATTGACCGCTGAAGAAGGAGGGTGGAAGGCTTGGGTGGACGTGAATTTGGTCCCAGGGATACAGTTTGCTCGTTGACTCCTGTCAGGAGAGGGACAGAGCAGGGCTTTTTCTTTACTTAAGTTGGTGAAATCGAAAACCTCTGGAAAAGCCAGGAATTATGCAGAGCACCTTTGACCCCTGACAGTGGGGTGGAGCGTGGAGGGAGGTGGCTGGGCTGGGGAGATGTGGTCTCAGCACCAGTGGGAGAAGCCCACTCTTGGTCTATTGAGGGGGAGGCTTCCCCAGGATCCCTTTTGATGGTGTTGAGGAATATTCAGCCTAATGTGTTTTCTTGCCTATTATTAATATTATAAGTTGTATCCATAAATTGAGATTTTTAGTGTTTTTTCCCCTTTGCCATATGTTGGGTTTTTAGTTTATCCTTGGGAAATAGGACAAGACTTTGGTTAATAGACATTTGAGGTGCACGAAATGAAATGCTGCGAAAGCAATTCAGGTGGAACTGACAGGTATGCGAACGGGGCTCAGCTGCTCCCAGCTCCTCGGCTTGATGACAGTCTTGCAATAAATAATCAGAAACTCAGTGAAATCATAGCAGACGTCAGTTTAAAGTTTCCACTTGTCAAAACTAAGATTGTCTTATCACCGAACCATTGCTGGACCAAATTGTGCTACCTTTTATCTTCCTGTTCATTGGAAAACTTTCTTTACCCGCATTTTTTTTTATCCTGAACTGTGTTATAGCACTTCACAGACAAATTTCCAGTCTGTACTGATGTTCATTACTGCTCACGTCATTTAATAAAGGAGGCTTAGTTTGGTCAGAAAGCAATTGTTAGACTCTTCTGTTTATTAGTCTCAGTACCTGTCATTTACAGTTCCAAGTTAAACAACTGGGAACTGTCTCAGTGTTCTTTTCAGCTTTATGAAGAGGTTACTCTCATTTTATCTGCGCAACAGAGATAAAATTCTCAAGAACATCAAGATTTTATTTGTCTAAGGAGCCATTATGATGTAACTTCTGACCTTTGGAAAGAAGACCGAGGTTCATTTAATTTAGTACTGAGTTTCCAAGAAGCATTAGCCAATTTATTTTCACCAAAATGAGAAGTTATTTTGACGACTTGGGGGCCAGCTGCTGTGAAGGAGCTATCAAGAATGTTAGAGCTGCAAGGGGATCTGAGCAGCATCTAGACCAGCCCCTGATTTGACAGATGCAACAGGAAGATCCAGCAAGTGGGAATCACACTCCCAAGGTTACAGCCTAGGTGAAGGCCCAAGTTTAGGCACAGATGTCTTGACCGATATTTGACACTGACGTTTTATAAGAAGCTTTGAGTGAGTCTGAATTTCTCTTCTCAAGACAAGAAAAATATTCTACTTTAATAGCACTCTTATATTTAAAACTGTAATATCTTAAGAAGTCAGAAAGCCATATTGTTTCTTTTGTTTGTTTATGCTAGATTTATTTTTTTGAATATGAAAATTTCTCTTTTTTGTCTTCTAGTCCCTCCTCTTCTCACCATAAATGTATATTATACCTTGAGGGAAAATTACAGAAAGGGAGAGGGGAAATTTCAGGCCAGAGAGGAAACTAAGGCAGTTACAGATCACTGTGATCATGTAGCAGTAAGTTTCAGGTGGACTCTCACTTCTGTTTCTGAAAATGAGGGATCATGTGAGCCCCCCAGGGAGAGCAAACAAGAAAAGTTCTGGAAGAGCCGAAAGGGCCCGTCCAAGTAAAGGGGGAACTGATCACTTGTGAGGTCGGAAATGGTGAGCAAAACCCACACATAGCATTTGTGTTGAGCACGTGACAGTGGTAGTAACATCCTGACCTTTGAGTGTAGGTGCTGCCACTTACAAGTTGTGTGACCCTGGACAGGTGGCTCAGCTGGAGCCTGAGCTGCCTCATCTGTAAAAGCACAGAGCTTTTTAGGTTAGGAGAGATCATGCACATGAGATGCTGTCAGTAGGGCAGCAGTCTAGCTCACAATAGTTCCATTCCTCTCTCACTCCCTTCCTTTCCTCCAAATTCTCAGGGATTGCCAGCCCTCAATTTGAAGACTGTTTTTAAAACTCCGTAGCTACATATGGCTCTGGAAAAATTGCACATTGCCAGTTAGTGTAAAAGGTCAGCTATAGTAGTGACTATTCTGTTCTTGGGCAACATTTAAAAGAGCTTAACACAGCACGTCCCAAACAGCTCGTGTCAATACAGAGAGCTCACCTCATAACCAGTATATTACACTGTATTTAATTAACTCATAAGGTATGATTAAACCAGGACAAGAAGGTGAGGCCTATCTTCTGCACATGGAAGAAGCATTTTATACTAAGGAATGTTCTGGTCCAGGCATTTTGTCAATAATTATTAACTCTATTTGATAGAACTACTTGTAGACACCCAGATTTTTCAACCTATTTCCTGCCTCTGTGCTTTGCATATACTGTTCCTTCTGCCAGAAGGCCCTCACTGCCATTGCCTCTGCCCATTCCTTCTCCTCAGCCCTTCTTCACTTTCTCTGTCCTGGTCTTGGAGAACACAACACAGACATCACAGTCTCCATATGCTCATTCACTCTACACGTTAATATGAGGGTCTGTTCCAGGCCAGGAGGAGAAGCAGAGAGGGCATGCTGTCATGGGAAACCGACCCAACCCTGGGAGATGGGGGGGTTTTCGTTGGAGTTTGCTTTGGGGTTAAGGCTTGGGTTGGACATAGTCTGGAGGAGAGGAGAGAAGAGCCGTTCTGGCAGAAGGAGTGGCAAATGTGAAGACCCATCCCCACATGCTTGAGCCAAAAAGGAACATAGCTCCGTTGCTTATGTTTCTCTCAAAGGAATTGCCATGCTGCGCTGCAGTCATTGGATTTGTTGATTAGTCTTTTATGTCATTTACCTGAGAAAAGAAACCCAAGGGGAGAACCAAGTGCACAGATAACCAACAAGTGTGGCGTATGTGGTCAAATAGATTCAGCTATACTGTTCTCTGTGAGGTTTTAGGCTGGCTTCTTAGCCTTTCTGATCTACAATATCCTCATTTATCAAATGGGTATGGCAGTTTCCCTTGCCTCAGGCCGGGGATATCGTGATGCGGGATCTCAGCAGCTGGCATACAGTAGGCACTCACAGCATGCTTTGTAGTCTTCATATTGTGACTTCCTAAGGTGTTATAGCTGAGCTCATTCAGTTTTCATTTTGATTAGAAACTTTTTAATTATGTGAAGTTGCAATAATGAGGATATTTATTTCCATGACAGTCTAAGATAAACTCAGGATGATTGTTTCCCTACAAAACTAAGTGGGAAAGAGGAAAGCCTGAGGGAGTGAGTGGAAAGTCTTCCTCAAATACTCAAAACACTTATGGTTTAGTAATCTAGATTTTCCACAAATCTGCTCCTATAAAAATTATGCCCGGTTCAACTACAGCGTGCATGTGTACCTGTCTTGCATTAGCTGCCGATGGCAGTGATGACAGACTCCCTCCTCTAGCCATCTCAAGGACGTTGTACATTGGAATGTGCATTTTCCTGTCCTTTAGAAAGATCCTCGGCCTGTGTAACACAGACTTGTGACTAGATTGCAGAGACTTGTTTGCCTGCTATCCTGTCCCCATGGTCCGTGCTGCTGAGTCGCCTTTGCCAGAAGATTCCTGATGGTAATGCAGCAGCACTGATGAAAGAAAACATTCAATCTGGGTACTTGTTTTCAACGTATTATAAAGGGAAGTGCCCACAATTCATACGGCACGAAGTTCTCTGGTGGATGAGGGTTAAAAAAGAAGTAAAGTCTTTGCCTTCTATAACTTCCCATCTATTGAAAAGAAGGAGTGGTATTCACCTCCACCCCCACAGTGCCTTGTACAAGCCCATCCTTACTTAGTTCTTGGCATACAGTGCTAGAATAGTTCACACAAACATCCTGCACTGCACACTCCGGTCTTTCCAAGTCAGGTACTGTCTCTATATTCCCTCTTGCACTTAGGCACTTACTGTGTGTTGATTGTCCAACCATTGTGGTTAAAATGTTAAAACATACTTACTATTTATTAAAATTGGGGAATTAGGTAAGGGGCCTTTGATAATCCTAAAGTCTAAGGCATCTGTCTTTGGGCTCTGTGATCTTAGTGGTAATTTTTTTCAGTTTTTAGCCCAGCCCTTTATTAATTATTTTTAAGTTTTAGAATACTTCACTGAATATCATTTATACTTATAGCCAAATCATTTTGTACCAACTGTGTTTTGTTTTGTTCAATACAGTGGCGCTGATTACTATGATTATGGACACGGACTCAGTGAGGAGACTTATGATTCCTACGGTGAGTGACTGGATAGAATATATAGAAAGACGGGGGAGATGGCTATGGAAAGACCTTAAAGATCTTAATTGGAAGAGAAGTTTAAAAAGACATTTTGACTGTGAAACAGTACTTTCCTCTCAGTTCACTTGTGCATATCTAGCTATTTTCAGAGGCTCCTTTAATATTTAAATTTAATATTTAAAGAGGACTAAAGACTTGCAGAAAATTACATGAATTCAGATTCTGAATTTGGATTTTCTGTTTGGGTTGATTGCCATATGCTGATTTTCTCATTGATAGAATAGTTTGCCAAGCTGCGGACACTTGATAGCATGGGTCTTTTTGAAGTGTCTTTACTTCTTGACATTAAAGGGAAATGAAGCAATTGACACCACAACTCTAAAGTGATTCTCCCACCCCATCTTTATATTTTAATTCATTTCCAATCCCAAATTCTCTGAAAAAATTACTTTGGGAGTCATTTCATAGAGGTTACAGAAGCACTGAGCCAGGGAGTAGATACAAAGATCTGTCAGGCTTACAGGGGGAAACTAAACCCCTCTTAATTCAGTGGGAGCTGGCAGAGATGCTGGGGACTCACTTTCCAAAGTCTCAGTATGCAAAATGATGACAGGTTTAATTAAAAGAATTGGTGGCAGCAATATAATGATAGTAAGAAGCGCCTTTGCCACAGGGCAGAGAGATCAGAGAATGAGAAGCTTCAATCAGTTGCAAAGCTCTGATGAATGCCTGGTGGTACCCAGTGCAAGGGAATCAGGCTTGTGGTTAATGGATGTTAGGACATTTCTCTGAACATAACCGAAAAACCATTTTCTGGTGTTAAACCTTTTGAAGTGCATTTTGTTGTATCACCTGCCTAAAGCTGTGATGACCGTGACTGTACCTTGGAATTATTTTTTGTTATTTGTAGCAAACACTTAAAGAGAAATATGTTGGTTTGCTCAATGCTGTCTACTTAAATTGATGCAAGTTAGCTTGAGGGAATGACGTTGATTGCATGTTTGTATCAAAAGAAGAGGTCATTTTTAGCATTTTTCCTTCACAGCTTTTTAAATTGGTCTCTGTGGGCACATGGCTTTTAAATTGTTGAATGTTGCAGCAGAGACATTAACTGTTTGATGTCAAAGACCTGTAGATATTAAAAGTTATCTTCAGACTGAACAGGTGTTTAATTTCAGGAGATAAAGATGATAGCTTATCCTTTATTATTAATATTGTCCGGTATAGATTTAGTATTGTGGTGAGTGAAATTTGACATTATATCATTAAGTTTTATTTCACATTCATGAAATGTTGCTGAGGTGTGAATTTCACCCAGTGCGCCTTTCCTTTAGTCTGTGAAAGGGTCTGAAGTATGAGACAGCATTTCTCTTTCTCAATCTGCCTATTCCCATTTTGCTCTCCCATTTTTTTTCCCCTTGTCTTCACAGATTTTTATCCTTGTGTTTTTTGTTTTTACTGTTAGATGAAATCTAAGTGATTCTTTTCTCATTTACCGTTCCCACTCATAAGTGCCATTATGTTTATGAAAGACAGTTCTATTTGCTACTTGAGCTCCTGGGTTTTTGTTAAATGAGTAGCCACAAGGAAAGTTCTTACAAAGTGCAAAGGTGGTTCCCATTTAAGATACAGAAACCATTTTTCTTCCCATGCTGATAAGTTTTGCTAGTGAGATGATCATTTCCCATTGTGTTTGTAATTTCTTTAAATTCCTTGTTTTTGTTTTTTTCTGGTACACCAGATATATGTATCTTCAATATGACATATGCTGTTGGTTCAGAGCTAACTTAGATTCTGAAAAATGAAGCCAGTGGGATTCATGGCAGTGATCTAATTGTGATTCATCTTATTGATTTTAGGACAAGAGGAGTGGACTAACTCCAGACACAAGGCACCTTCAGCGAGATCAGCAAAGGGCGTCTACAGAGACCAGCCATATGGCAGATACTGATTGTACTGTCTGATGTTGTGAAATAGCCAATCTCCACCAGTCCTGTATACTGTTCAGTGTTTTTTTCTGTGTATGATACCTTTTTAAATTAATCAAAATGCTTAAAATCTGAATGGATGGAATTTAAAACTACTTTGGTGAAACATCAACCTGGGCAGAAAAAAAAAAAAAGACATGTAAAATTTTGTTATTTCCAGTCTGTATATGAAAAAATAGGTCATCCAAAGGGAAACAAAATAACTTTGATTAACTAGTGTTAAACAGAAAAATAGGTTTACTAAATATGTTAATCTATTCTTTTAACATAAGCCTCACCTTTCATTTTAAAGGTTTCCATAGAATTTAGTTATTTTATCTTTCAGCCATATGCTAGTTATTTTTTTCTCTTGCCAACATGCGTAAAAAGGGAAGCCAATTACAAGTGCAAATAATGTGGTATTCTTTTGTAACTCAAGTCTTGAAATGTTCTGTAGTGTTAAGCAAAGTCTCTTCTTGCTTGATACTAAATAAACTTTTGAAAGAAATTTCGTGTGTGTGAGCTAACAATTTCATGTTTTTCTTATTTAAAAAGGCCTTCATAAATAGTTGTAAACAGGGAAAGAATTCATTTAACAATGCTTGTTATAAAAGGGTCACACTAAACATTGTACAGCTTATTTTAAAAATGGTATAAAATTAAATGTACCATTCTATACTCACCGTAGATTTAAATGCTGTTTAAAGAGTCCAAGTGGTATCAAGCTGCTTGAGTGGCACGTTAAAACTACGCAAAACCAAATCTTGTTTAAAAACTGGTTTTAAAATAACTACTGGCTTTTCTGAAAAAGATGTGATCAGTTTTCATCTTGTTGAGCGTTTTTTCACTAGTGCAACTTTGGATTTTTTATGAGAATTTTGGTACCTTAATGAACACCTCGCTCCATGCTGGAAGCAATAAGCACAAAGCTTTTAAAGACATTCTGACTTGACTAATTGAGGTCGCACTCGCCAAGGCTGAGGATGTGTAACCCTTAAACGGTCTTCATTTTCAAAGGTAAATAAATCAAATAAGATTTTAATCTCACTTAATTTATCTTAATATAACTAATAAAACCAGGGAGATTACAACTTAGCAAGTTTCATTATCCATTTTAGAAAGGTTTTAAGATCACCTAAATTCTCATTTTAAAAAGTTTAATTTGTTTTAGTAACCTAAAAAGCTTTAGTTTAGTCAGTTTAATTGGGGCCAATTATTCCCTATTAAACAAATGTAAAACCTCATAACTAGTTATTTGTAATACATTATTTGGTTAGTAATTGAGGGCACTACTTAAAACTGACAAATATTTAACAAAGTTATTATTTACTCATTTGGCTTAAGTTTTTTAATTGTAGATAATATAAAATGTTTAATTTTTATTTCTTGGGGGATTTCTTTCTCTTTATTTTGAGTAAAAACGTCTTTTCTTTTGTTAGGAAATGTCAGCCATCTTGCGATGTCAAAGAAACTGATTGTGCACCAAGAGCAAACCAAGGTAAGTTTGCCTTTTCGTTCCAGTGATTCTGATGTGCTGTGGAAACTGAAGACAATTTCATGCTTATCTAAAGTCACATGGAAAATCCCATGCTGCTTTCCTATTACCGACACTAGTGATTATGGAAAATTAAATCCTTAAGTCAGAAAAGAACCTTCCTGAGTGTAAACAAGTCAGACCCAGTAAGCTTTATTATAAGCTGCAGAGATCGGAGGCTCAGGTCATCACACTATTTAAGTATTCAGATTACTTTCTTTAATAAAAATATAACAGTGTAGTCAATAACATGAAAAAAAGTTTCCTAATTGTTAAGTAAAAAAAGCAGTTTGCCAAATTTAATGTATAATTTCAACCCAATTTTATTTTTCCTTATATATATTTGCATAGGTAAGATACTACACAGGTATGCTGGAAATTTTTTTTTTTTTTCAGCTTATTATTGTTGTGCTGTTTTTTTTGTTTGTTTTGTTTTTTTTTGTCGCCCCCCGAAGTCCGTGTTTCAAATATGTCCATCCTGCTGGAAATTTTTGACAATTATTTTAGTCTTGTGGAAGTATGATTTTTTGTGCTTCCGAATTTCATAAAACAAATTATTACTTCTGTAAGTATTATAGAGGTAATTGGTCTCACTTGTCAGATATTCTTGCATTTTTCTAAATCATCAAAAAACACTACTTAGGTCCTGATCCTCCAGAGAGTCTTACTTTTTAAGTATTTATATATGGGCTCTGCCACTTAACTGTGTGACTTTGGACAAGTCTCACTTTCTACATCAGTGCAGTGAAAATGATGCTTATCTCATGTAGTTGTAAAAATCAAGTAAGGTAATATTGTGACAGTATTTTGTAACCTGAAAGTGATAGAATCGTGTGAAATTTAATTGTCAAAGTTGAATTCACATATTTAATATATATGAGAAATACATGAGCTCGTTTTTCTTAATTGCCCAAATTAGCCTGAAACAGATTACCTTTAGAAAGAAAATAATTCTCTTCATCATTTTCATAGACCAAAATAAAGTGAATTCATTGTATTTTTGTTTATCTTTTTTCTTGCGCAGAAATGTAACATAACATACATCACATCTCTTTAGTGTCTGATGTTACTGAAATTTTTCACTCTTTTTTTCTTTAATAATATGTTTTTAAAAATTCACATATAAAAAATAAATCAGGAATTATGGATAGAGGGTCAGCCCTCAGATGGTCTGCACTAATTTGTAGGAATTACTGTACAATTTTATGTTTATTTTCATTCTTTTAAGAATCCATGGCTTCATCAGACTGTGAAAGGCAATTATGATTCAGAGAGGTCAGGGAACACTGTTGAACAGGAACTCTCCTGCTTGCTTTCAGGGTCTTCTCTTTTCTGGCCGATACTCTGCCAAGCCTTATTTCTTCCTGTTTCAGTAGGAAGACCCTGCTATGGACAAACCAGTCACATTGTGTTGTTCCGAAATCTTTCTCGTAGCCTTGTTTTACCCCTTAGAATTCATTTATTTTCTTATATGACAACATTCATCAAACATGAGTTCCATACTGGACACAACAGAGGCACTGGGAATACAAAGGTCTATAAGACATGGAACCCTACATTCAAGTAATTCAAAATCTAATGAAAGTGATAGACTGATAATCCACTACTTGCTGGCCCCTGTTCCTTTGCCCATAGAAACCACACCCATCCTTCAGGACTTGGCCCAGTGACCTCTCTCTTCCACGTCTTCACCAGTTAAACCAGGCCATGATCCTTCTGCCCTCTCTGAAGAGCATGTTTAGTTTATATTTCTTCATTTTAGTATTACTATCATATGACTTACATTGGTTGCACATTGCCTTAATAGCCAAGCATATGCTTGTCACTGTCTATAAATTATTTTATTGAATCCTCACAACTATAAGAAGGTATCATCTATATTTTAGAAAGGAATAAAGGAACTTTTATGCTAATGTTCTGTGTTTTGTAGGGATAGATCTATTTCTATCTTTGATCAGGAAAGGCTGTGGATCATTTTTCAATCTGAATTTTATCCATCCTTACGTAATGGAAAGTCTTACCCAGTTGAAGTTGATTCTGACTGGGATTCCTGTTTCAGGAATCCCTCTTTGGCTCTGCAGGTAGAGCGCCGTCTACAATGCTGCCACCCCTAGCTGCCTCTACACAGCACTGCTGTGATCCTATCCTGATTTGCTCCAGCCCTGCTGGATTGAAAACCCTTCCATGTGCTTTCATTGCTACTTAAAATCACAGTCCCACTCAGCCGGCTCTTGATCTAGCTAGTTGTTCTTGGTCTGTCCAAACTTCAAAGTGAAACTTGGAGCATGCCTTCGCCCAGGAGGCCTTCCCTGGTCCACTGTCTTCACATCTAGCCTAGTAGAATCTCTACTCAGGGACCCTCACATCATTCTATGAATTGTGCAACACAGTGTCCTGTGATTGGCTAGTTGCCCTCCTCTCCCCTGACCAGAATATAAACATCTTTGGTGCAGATAATAATGTCTTATGCCAAGTGAGTGGTATATGAACAAGTAGTCGAATATGTGAGTAAATAAAATGAACGAGTGGCTCAGTGTCTTATCTGTCTTACAGGAAAATGGACTAGGATTTCTTTGGCCTTATTGGATCAAGTTAGTTATCCTTCCATTCAAAGATAACAGGTTATTAAGCTGTGTGTGTGTGTGTGTGTGTGTGTGTAATATCTCGTTTGAACCACTACTGGCAGGATCCATGCATGTGTTACTAACATAACACAGTTCCTAGTACCTAACAGATACTCAAAACAGGGAGATGGAATAAGTTAGCAGATACCACCATGAAGTGTGCAGGGATGGTGCTGTTATTCTAAAGCTAGACGTCTGCTCTCCTTGTTGATGTGTTTGTCTTTCTCCCTGACTGAAAGACTTTAGGTTCCTTAAAGATGGAACCATGTCTTATTTGACTTGTACTTCCAAATCATAGCATACAACCTGACACTTAGACAAAGTAGGGACTGACAGGGTGTTCAGTAAGGAACGAGTGAGTGAACAAACCTGTAATTCTTCAAACAGTAATACCGAGTGAGCGCTTTTCAGTACACACAGTCACAGATTTACAGTAGTTTGACTTAAAATTTTTTGACCTTATGATGGTTCAAAAGTGATACAAATTTAGTAGAAGCCGTACTGTAAATTTTGAATTTTGATCTTTTCCCAGGCTAGTGATAAGCAGTATAGTACTTTTCTTGCGATGCCAGGCAGTGGCAGTGAGCCATTTTGTTTTTCACTTTCGGTAAGGCATTCAATAAATTACTAAGACATAAATTAATTATGAAATAGGCCTTGTGTTAGATGGTTTTGCCCAGCTGTAGGCTAATATAAGTCTGCTGAGGACTTTAAGGTAGGTGAGGCTAAGTTACAGTGTTTGATACGGTAGGTGTATTAAATGCATTTTCAACTTAACAATATTTTCAACTTTTGATGGGTTTATTGGGACATTTAGTCCCATTGTAAGTTGAGGAGCATTTGTATTACT